CAGCCTCATGAACCCAGCTCCTCCCCACAGATGCCAACAGAACTTCCGCTTCGAGCTGTATCCTCAGAAATCATCCTTGAGGGATCGCGGGAGGAATGCTCGAGACAAATCATCTTATGAAAAGCATTCTGATTTTCCATCTGGTGGTGCCAAAATGTCTTTCAACAAAAGGGGTGACTAATAAAACATTTCTGGGAACGAATCCTTTTTCCAAGAACTGGCAAAAGTGAGATGATCTCACCTTTCAGGATGCGAGCTGTCTGTCTCCTCCCGCCTCCCCCCGCCGCCCCACTTCTGCATCCCAGGGAGGAAGAGACGGGTGGCAGCCCGCGTGTGCCAACGTGAGCGGGACTGGCTCTCGGTGGCCTCAGAGTGGCTCCTGCACACGGACATGAGCCCGGCTGCCGAGGCCCACAGCAGCGTCTCCCCCAGCCTCCCTGGCCTCCAGCCCTGCACCCAGCACCTCCACACCCCCCCTTCTCCCATTTCCCCAGCCTGCTCCTTCCCCCTCTGTGCTCACTTTGCTCCCTCTGCCTGAGAGCCCTGCTTTGCCCCGTGAGCACTGGCTACCTGCGCTCCCTCCTCCAGGAAGCCCTCCCTCCACACCCTCCCTGGAGGAGGTAACAGGCCCCACTCTCGTCCCACCCCACGCTGGACCCTGGCCACACGTCTCCCTTCCATGCTGTCATTTGTGTGTGCATCTCCCCCCTGATTCCGGAAACTCCTGGAGGGCTGAGCCTGTGTCTCCATCTCTGTAAGCCCAGCACCCGGGACGGGATGGGGTACGCAGCAGGCGCCTAATGAGTGTCCAAGGAGGGACTGGCTGAGGAGGGGATGCCGTGTGAGGGGGCAGGACTTCCTGGGACGTGTGCGCGATGCCCACACAGAGGGGCCACGGGGGCCGAGGGGAGGTCACGCAAACACCAGGAGGTGAGTGGGGACCAGATGGTGGAGCCTCCCAAGGAGCACAGGGACCAGCGAAGAGGAAGCGGGGGGAGGGAGGCTGAGGGCCAGGGGCAGGCCGGCCGCTCTTCCACGCGGGCCAGGGGTTAGAAAGTCCCTTCCCCACACCAGCCGAGGGGTGTTTCGGCCTGAAGTCATTGCCAGGCCTCGGCCAAGAGGTGCAACATCCCTATGGTGAATGCCCCGGGGACAGCGTCACCTGCGTGCCGTTGCCCAACTGTACACACTGAGGTTCTGGAGCCCCGGGCTTCTGGGTAGATGCGCCGCGGGGCCAGCGACTCCAGGAGGGACGCACGCGCTCTGCCTGCGTGGGCGCCGCCGAGCAGACGCATGCTTCGTGGATATGCTAACACGTGCACGCTCATGCACGCACACGCACATGCACACACCTATGCACGCTTGCTGGGAGCATTTACGCCGAGGAAGGGCCCCTCTAGGCTAGGTTTTCCTGGAAAGTTGGCAGGAAATGCTAACACGCTAGGAAATAATAAACACCGTCTCCCATGTGCAACTACCCCGCCCCGAGCCTTCCCACAGGCGCTTCCTCAGCATCTGCAAGGTGAGCCGGATTCCCCTAGAGGGCAACAGAGGACTGAGGTGGGCCCAGGAGAGGGGGGGCCGTCAACGACAGCACCACCACAGACCCCTGCCCCTTGGAGATGGCCCGGTGAGGCCACCATCCTTGCCATGTCTAGAAGGACGTCGTGTCCCCTTGATCTCACCACCACAGGACAGACCAGGAAACAGGCCCAGCCTGGTCCAAAGTCACACAGCAAGTGTGGAATCTGCCCCCGGATTCTGGGGCCAGTGCCCCATTCCCTACAGATGGGACTGGAACAGCTACCCTTCCCTGTCCCGGGGTCTCCCCAGAGCAGAGAGACACGGCGGCTCGGCCCTGAGGCCTCCCCCCACCTACTGGGCCCTGTCTCACCGGGACACGGGCAGGACCAGCAGACCCCAAGCCAGCCCGGGTGATTCCTTGCGCCCTGCTCCCCACGGCCTCCCGCCCACTGGCCACCACCCGGCTCAGCGGAGACCCAGACCCAGGTCCTCCTGCTGTACAACATCGAGCCTCCTGAGCTGGCCTCAGAGGAGGAAAGGGGTCCGGGGCCTGCTCTTCACTACCCCCTCCCCCACCAGGTTCTAATTAGCAGCTTCTAGAACGTCCAAGTGCCCTGGCTATAAAGTGAAGGAAATGTGTTTCCTAATTGGCTCCCTGCCGGGGTGTCAGTCAGAGAGCAGGGATTATGCGGCCCCTGCAGCCTCCCTCCCGGCCTTCCTGGGCCCGCCGGCTCCCTTCGCCGTCCTCACTCACCTGCCCCAGGTCTGCTCGGGCGTGGAAGGCACACCTCCACTCACACCTCATCCAGGGGCCCAGCAGGATGCGAGGAAGATTCTCCACAAGGTCCGCAGACCCCAGTGGGAGACCTGGCCTCCGGCCTCAGAGCAAGGCCTGCGGCTGCTGCCAGGCTGAGCCCCCGATGCCCCCGTGGGCCCCTGCCCAGCCCCTGTGGGTGCCACTCACTCCTCCCTCCACAAGCCTCTCCCTGCCTGCCCCTACCCTGCCGGGGTCTGCCAAGCCCTGCCCGGAAGGCCCTGTGATCCCCTTCCTGGCATCTCTTTGTCCTGTCTCCTGCCTGAACACGCAGGCCTAGTTGCTGAGCTGGGGTGGGCTGCTCCCCAACTCTAAGGCAACCCCGAGAGTATCACGGACGGTGCTAGGGACCAGAACGCCCCTCCGAGAGTCTCTGGGGGATGGGCAGGGGCAGGGGCAGTGCCTGTCCTGGCCTCGGGGCAATGGGCCGGGGGTCAGTGATGAGGACATTAAATCTGATGGCACAACAGCTCCGGACCCTGTCGGCGCTCTGTGGGGGCACCCCGCTTCTCTCCTGCATCTGCTCTCCTCAAATCTCGCCCCGCAGCAGAAACGTGGACGCCTGGGCGGTGTGCTGGTAGCAGCGCAGTGCCAGTAGCTGGGGGGGGGAAGGTGGGCATGCCGGGCTGCTTCTCAGCCCTCTTGGTTTTGGGACACATGGGGCCCTAGGGATAAACGTGATGGGGGAGGGGCGGCCAGAGAGGCTGGGCCTCTGCTGGGCAAGTCACCTCAGCCAGCTGGGCCAGGGGCCGTACCTAGGACACCAGCTTCCCTCAGATAATCCAGGATGGAGTCAGGCAGCAGAGGACAAGAGGAGGCCAGAGGCCGAGCCCCCTGCACCACCGCCCTTGTTCCCTGGGGGGGCCCACAGCGGGGGCAGGGCTCAGGGGGGCCCCTCTGGGAATATAACAAGAGGGGGCCAGGCCCCCTCCTGCAGAAAGAGGGACCTGCCTGCTGCTGGGGGTGGGTGGAGACAGGAGAGCTCAAAGTGTCCCCCACAACATCAGGGGTAGGGGAGGCAGAATTTAACAGAGGAAAACAAGTCAGAGAGAAGAAAATGAGTCCCACGGAACCAGGAGGCAGACGGATCCATTTGGGTAATTGTAAAGAAAGGTCCTACCTTTCCCTTCTTCACGGGAAGGGCAGAACAGGGGTAGGGGGAGCTGCAGTCAACACCTCACACAAAGTCTGCGCGGCGCCCCTACTCCCAGGCCCCTTCCCCAGCGTCTGCAGAGAGGATGCTTCAAGACCGAATTCAAACCACCCTCCCCCCAGGCGGCCCACCTGTTCCTTCCCCACGCCCCCACCCCACCCCAGCTCTGCGGGGAAGGGCGCAGCGGTGGCAGAGTGACAGGCCCAGGGCTCTCCGTCACCCTGGCTCTCTGGGCCTGGACAGCCTCGATGGGCCCCCAGCCCTAAGCCTGGGACACCGCACGACCCTTGGGTCCTCCCACCCTTGTCCCACCCGAGTCCCACCTCCAGTCCCCGGCAGACGCTGTCGGTCCCAGGCCAGGAGCATGGACCACACAAGCCTCATCCAATGCCACCTGGGGCCTCTGGGGGCTGCTGTCATCCTGGGTCAGAGACAACACTTCCTTTATCTTTACACCACCTCCACGTTTGTTTTCAAAATCAAGGTTGGTTTTCCCGTGAAAGTCAGAAGTTGCTGCACCGCCTTGGGATGCAAGCACTTAAAAGAGGCTTTTTAGGAATTCACTGTGGACCCAGAGGGCTCTGGGACAGGATGCCCACGGCCTGACCGCTTCGGAATTGACACGCCAAACCCACCGGCCGCTCCGACCCCATCCTGAGGGGAGTGCAGCTGGATGGTGGTGTCTGGCCAGCCCAGGCCTCCAGCGGGCCGGACACCCTCAGGGCCCAGAAGCCACAAAGCCAGAGATCCTCACCGCGTGGGGCAGGGCTGGCGAGAGGGGATTCGGAGAAGGGGTGCAGGGGCCCCCACCCCCAGTGCCAGGGTGGACGGCGCCCGGGGAGACTGGGGGACGGACTGGACACCCTCTTCCCAGGAAGGGAGCCTGAGGCCTCCAGTGACAGGGAATCTCTGTAGCCCCCCAGCTCCCGGCTGGAAAAGGCCCTCAGGGATCCCGAGGCTGTGTTCAAACTTCACAATTACCAGCGAGCTGTTTTAAATGCAGATTCTCGACCCAGCTCCACCTTGTGGAGTCAACCCTTGGAAGGAGCTGGCGGCATTTTAAACACGCCGTGGAAGCGCCCTCCCTTTCTCCAATGCCCTGAGGACCTCTCTTCGAGCTACAGAGCCTCAGGCTGAATGCCCATGCGTAGGGAGGAGGGCACCGAAGACCAGAGAGGTAAAGTGACTGGTCTGCAACCACACGGCCCCTCAGGGGCAGAGTGAAGCCTGGGAACCCCAGGCCTGTCAGGCCCCACTGGCCGGGATGCCTCCCTGCAGGGCCAGGGGGAGAACCCTGCCCACACGCCTATGACCCCTCACACCACCTGCCGCCAAGGGGGAAGAGCTGGGACATTCCTGGGCGTGGGACCCACCCCACTCGGCTCCCGTCGGGTCCCAGGGACTCTGTGAGCAGCACCCACGCAGGGCCACCTGCGCCCCAACCCCAGCCCCTCACTGGTCATGTGGTGCCCTCCCCTCCCCCTCCCCAGACAAGCAGCTCTCGCTCACCGTAGTCCTTCTTGCAGTATTTTTTCATGTTAATCTTCAGCTTCCCTTTGGAGGCCTTGCAGTACGAATCACAGTCTGCAGGGGAGGGGAGAGCACAGACAAAACCTAATTAGGCGCGCAAAGAATAGGCTGCCAGGCCGGGTGGGAGGCCACCTCCCTCAATACCCAGAGGCCTGTGATACCCAAGGGGCCAGGCCGCGCGGGCGGCCATTCAGGGCGTCCTGGCCTTCTCGAGAGGCGCTGGGACAAAGGGCCCCCGCCTGACCACCCCCGCCGGCCCCCCGGCCTCCGTGAGGGACTCTGGGGGCTCCCGTATTGTGCCACCCAGGGCTTTGGAGCGCCACACAAATCCCCCCTGTTCTTAAGATGCACCCGGAGCCTGATTAAAGCCAATAGAGGCCTCATTGTCACCCGGCACCCTGGGTCTGTGTCAGGCGCTGGCTTCCGTGGCGAGCAGCCTCTGGTTGGGGTCACGGCCCAACAAAAGAGGTCACAGAGGAAATTAGCAGCCCATGAAGCATTAGAAAACCCCTTTGGTGTCCACTCTGTGTGCAAGTAAAATGCCCCACGACGAAGAGTTCAGTTCTAATGGGCCCCACTGCTGAGAGGCAGGCCCGCCGGGCCCACGTCTGCCGGGTACCAGTTCGGGGACGTCCCAGCGCGAGCTGGGCAGGATGTGTGACGCCCTGGGGCCTGCCTCCCCTGGGGGTGGCCTCTGTCGGCCCAGCAGATGCAAACCTCCAATGCCGGTCCCCCCGGGCCCCCTCCCTGCAAGCTCTTCCTTCTCTTCAGATAAGGTGATGCAGTTCCTTTGCCAGATCTGCGTTCACACGTCAGCTTTTGGTGTGATGGCCAGCCCACGACAGAGGCCCAATAAATCACTCCAGCCCGCCCTGCACCACCACTCAACATACCGGCTCTCACTGAATTCTCACAACCGTTCTTTGATCTGCGGGCATTATTCCCATTCTACAGACTAGGAAATGGAGGCCGCCTGCCCAGTGCATCCCAGACAGCTAGCAAGTGGCGAGGCTGGGCCTTGCACTCGAGTCTGAGATGCCAAGATCACTGTACCCGTGGTTATGCTACGCTGAGTCTCAGTAAACACCGATGGGTTCTCCCTCGATAAGAATGAGGCGTTCAGCTCAGAGCTGGGGATGCACAACGCCTGGCATTCCAGCAACTCCCAGACTGCCGGCACGCAGCAGCAGCCAGGCCAGCCCCGGGGCTGCAGAGGGCCCAGCCTGTTCTAGGAGTAGTGACGGTGCAAACAGGCTGGGTGTGTGTCCTGGCAAGGGGACTAGAAAGGGGGAGGGGAACACACACACACACACACACACACACACACACACTCACACAGGTGACTGCTCCAGGAGCAGGTGCCAGCCCCCCATCCTGCAAAGGGGAAAACCAAGGCCAGGGTGGGGGTAAGGAGTGATCTGTGTGGGAGTACAGGACAAGGCCAGGGCAGGAGGCCACCTGTCCCCCAAAACCATCACTCAGATCTGCAGGGAATATTCAGAGATCACCCCAGAGTCACCCTCTGGCCCATGGGAGGTGGCTGCCTCCTTCAAGGTCCTAATTAAAGCTGAAACAGCTCCATCCTGTTGCCCTGGGAGCTGCAGGCCTGGCAGCCCTCTGCTGCCCACCGAGCCAGCTTCCTGGGGCACCCCACTAGGAACCAGTCTCCGGAAGTGGGGAAAAACAGCCCCCCTTCCTGCCCCCAGGGGTCAGAGTCCTTAGACCTCTCCCCCCAACCTACCCGGATGCCCTGCCCGGGGGCAATGGAGTCCACAGTACCAGCCCCTCCTGCCAGCTGGTGGCTTACTGGAGTCAGGACCTCGTGGAAGGCAGGGGCTGGGGCATCCAGGGAGAGCGGCCTATATTTATTCCACTGGGGCCAAGCCCGAGAGGTTGACACACGAGGTGACAGTGAGTGGAGTGGCCCAAGCCCACAGGCAGTGGCACTGCCCCCCCCCCACTCCCCCACCCCGCATGGCACACTGCACTTTGGCCGCGCTCGGCCACATCTCTGCCATCCCAGGGTCAGATGGTGCTCACGGCAAAGCCACTACTGGGGCGGAACCCAGGGCGTACCTAAGTCCTGGCGTTCCCCAGCAAGCTGGCGGGAATCCCTGCCTGCTGTCTTCCACTCGGGAAAGAACTAGAATGCCAGCGGTGCTGGTGACGTCACTGCAGGGATGGCCTTGAACTCACTCTCATCGCTTTCTCATTATTTTTCTTTTTGGCCCTCGTCAGTACTTGCATTCCGGTCAATCACCTGCCCTGTCTCCTCTGTGGGGTGGAGACTCAGCCCTGGAGACAGCCCCTAACAGCACGTCAGCTCCTCCAAGCCTCCAGGCAGCCCTGTAAGGAAGGCACCGTGATTCCCATCCTCAGACAGGACAGCAGAGCTGAGAAAGGTGCCAGGGTGCCAGGCCCAAGTGCACTGCAGGCTGGAGGGGAGGTGACCCCTGGGAGGACCTGGCCCTGCACCTCCAGCTCTCCCCTCTCCATCACTCCCTCCTAGCAGCATCCACAGCTCTTCTTTTCAGAGCCAAGTATCCACCTGGGCCAGAAACCCTCCTCGAATGCGTGGCATCCATCACTGCCTAGTTAGATCCAGCTCCAGACCCCATGTGACAAATCACAGTTGCCCCCCATGAATATCAAGTCTGCCCCTCAATAACGAGAGCCACTCACAGGGCACTAAAGAGGCATGTGGTGCTGCTCTCAACCCTGCCCTGTGCTCCTAACGGCCTGGTTCCCAACCCAGGCTTCTGGAATGACCCAGAAGCTTTAGGACAACACTGATGCCTGGGTTTCACCCCCAAGATATTCTGATTTCACTGGTTTAGGGGGCAGCCTGCGTGTCCAGATTTTTAAAGTTCCCCAGGTGAGTCTAACGTGCAACCAGGCTTAGAACCACTGTCTGAGCCGACTGTAGTCATAGGAGGTGGAGACAGTCTCTGCACCCAAGACTCATATGGAGGACCCAGGCTGGCAGAGGAAAGGCTCAGAGGGGTGACTGCTGACTCAAACTGGAGTCATAGGGCAACCTCAAGCCGCTCGTCCTTATGGGAAATGGTGCCAGCCTCAACATGTGCAGATTTACAGCTGTATTTGGTTGGTTGTGGTGGTGGTTTATTTTTTATGTGGGTCTTATGTCTTCCCTTTCTGTCAGCCAGCAGTTCTCATCAAGTCAGTGTGCTTGTTGTAAACTGTCCCCTCTCCCTTCCGATTTGCTGATTCTGATTTAGTTGTGAGCTAGGAAAACAGAAGGATTAAGGTTATTCGAATTGTATGTAAAGCATGGGTCAATCGGCCTGGAATGAGAGACTGAACTGCTCTCCTCTGGGTACAGTGAATAACCTTCAGAGCACGGACACCATGGCAGCTCTCTGGCTGCGTGCTGACTCTTTGGGTGTATTCCAGAGAACTGAGGTCACTGGACAAGAGGTTCCTGGATAAGGAAAGTGTTCCTAAATTTTCATCTTTCATCAAATACACACACAGCTACAGAGACTGCCTCAAGATGGACCAAACGCAGCTTTAAAATGCATCTTTGACTCCTTCAAAATGGCATCTACTTGCAGCTACCCACGTTTCCTCTCCTTGTTTTGTTCCAAAATAGCTATACAGACAATGAAAAAAAAAAAAAAAAAAGAAAAGAAAATTCACACGAATGCCAAAAACTAAACTGACAGATGACCCAACGCTGGAATCTGGGAGCAATCTCTATTAATTAAAGGCAGATGGTGGTATAACAAGCAAAACCTGTCCAGGTTTTACCTCAGGACAGAGCTCTTTGTCTGATGAACAGAAAAATCCTGGAAAAAAAAAGGGAAGATGACAGGGAGACAACAACAGGAGAAAGAATGGGCAGGAAGTGGGTGGGGGCCCCATGGTGGAGCCAGATCCGGAGAAGGGAGGCTTAAAGGAAGGGGATGGATGGATGGGAAGGACTGTGTTTGCAGTGGGTACGTGAACTCACGTTTTTATCTAAATGACTGATGCCGAGAACAAGAAAGTCAGGCAGTGGAGACAGAAGGACACCACCTCCACAGAGAAGAAGCGAATTGAGGAAAAAGCCTTGGAGGGATTAGGAATTGGAGAGGGAGCTGGATGCACTCCCTTGCCATCCAGCTTGGGGCTGGAGTGGGAATCCAGCTGTCACGCTAGGCCAGGGATCTGCAAATCTTTTTGCAAAGTCCCCAACAGTAAATATTTTAGGCTTTGCAGGCCATACGGTCTCTGCCACAACTATTCAAACTGTCACTGTAGCTCAAAAACAGCCGTAGATGATATGAAACTGAATGGGTGTGTCAGACTAAAAAAAATTCTAAAGAGACACAGCCTCTATGAAGTAGGAGAGAAAAAGTCATATGGGAAAACGAGGCTGAGCTGAAAAGGCCACGTGATGATACAAAAAGGGTGACACACGAAAGAAAGAAGACCTGGAAAAACCCAAACCTAAAAGCCTAGGAGCACAATTAAAATCGACTTTGGAAGCAATCAAGAGAAATAATACTGTAGAAAACGGATTCAGAAACATGGAGAGTAAATTGGAGAGATTCTCACAAAATTTAGAGGAAAAGGATAAAGACGTGGAAACTGTGAAAGAGAAAATGATAGGGATAGAAGAGGGAAAGTGGAGAGATGGCGTATAACTGGGAGAAAACTGCAGCAGAGACCAAAGATAGGATCCCTGAGCTAAGGCCAACCTACGTATGAAGGAAAGGATGAACTGAATTTTGGGGGAAAAAAAATCAAGGAAAAAAGACCAACACACCCAACGTACATCTTTGCAAAACATATGAAATACCAGGATGAGGAAAAAATAGATGCAGATTTAAAATCAACAAGCAGCTGGCCAGATGACAATGGAGCAACGTCTATAGGTTGTGAGGAGAGAAAACTTTGAGATCCAAGATTTTTATACCTAGCTAGACTGTCTTCTATGTATGAAGGTCACAATAAACCAAAGACATTCTCTAGTGTGCAAGGTTTCAACCATGTATCCTTTTTGAGAGGAACACTGGAGAATGTTTTCCAACCAACTATGAAATGGATCA